GTTCGGGAGGGATAATATGGGGAGAAATGCCAGATATAGGTGGTGGGGAGGAAGGCAGCAAACCACATTGCCATGTATGTACCTATGCAACAATCTTGCATGTTCTTCACATGTACCCCAAAACCTAAAATGCAATAAAATATATACATAAAATAATAATAATAATAATTAAGAAATAAAAAGCCTTAGAATTCAAAAGGACCCCAGAGGTTATTTAGTAACAGGGATCTCATTACATTGAAAGATGGCTCATTCTATCACGGCATGAAAGTAAATATCTAAATAATGAATCATTTTCTCAATGACTTCCTTTGTAAGTTGAGAGTTATTTTCTTTTCTTGAGACAGGGTCTCACTCTGTCACTCAGGCTAGAGTGAAGTGGCAAGATCTCAGTTCATAGCAACCTCTGCCACCCAGGCTCAAGTGATTCTCCTGCCTCAGCTTTCTGAGTAGCTGGGATTACAGGCGTCTGCCACCTTGCCTGGCTCATTTTTTTTTCTGTATTTTTAGTAGACACAGTATTTCACCACGTTGGCCAGGCTGGTCTCAAACTCTTGATTTCAAGTGATCTGCCCGCCTCAGCCTCCCAAAGTGCTGGGATTACAGGCATGAGCCACCATGCCCAGCCATATTCCAATTTGTCCAACATGGTGATACCCCGTTCTCTACTAAAAATACAAAAACTAGCCAAGCATGGTGGTGCATGCCTATAATCTCAGCTACTCGAGAGGCTGAGGCCCAAGAATCATTTGAACCTGGAAGGTGGAGGTTCAAATGATCTCAGCAGTGAGCTGAGATCACGCCACTGTACTCTAGCCTGGGTGGTGACACAGTAAGACTCCATCTTAAAAAATAAAACAAATCTTTAAATAAAAATTTTTTTAAGAAAAAAACATTTTAAACTTTTTATTTCAGAAATAATTTTTTTTTTTTTTTTGAGATGGAGTTTCACTCTGTCACCTAGGTAAGCAGTGCAATCTTGGCTCACTGTAGCCTCTACCTCCCAAGTTCAAGCAATTCTCCTGCCTCAGCCTCCAGAGTAGCTGGGATTACAGGTGATGGCCACCACACCCAGCTAACTTTCTGGTTTTTTAGTAGACACAGGGTTTCACCATGCTGGCCAGGGTGGTCACAAACTCCTGGCCTCAAGTAATCTGCCTGCCTGGGCCTCCCAAAGTGCTGGGAATTACAGGCGTGAGCCACCGTGGCCAGCCAGAATATTTTTAAATTCAAGTAACATATGATACATTCTCAGTGGAAAAAAAATCAAGCCAGTTAAGAAATATGTCACCCTAGGAGGGTGGGGTGGGAAAAAAAAAAAAAGGAAAAAAAAAAGAAAGTAAAGAAATATGTCACCCTAATTAAATCTTTCAGTTTCCTCCTTCAACTTACCATTTGCATCATACATCTCTCAATTTGCCCTTTTTCACTAACCAGGCTTTGGCAGCTCATATGACTTAAAACCAGTTCCTGGCCAGGCTCAGGGGCTCACGCCTGTAATCCCAGCACTTTGGGAAGCTGAGGCAGGCAGGTCACCTGAGGTCGGGAGTTTGAGACCAGCCTGACCAACATGGAGAAACCCTATCTCTACTAAAAATACAAAAAATTAGCTGGGCATGGTGGCGCATGCCTGTAATTCCAGTTGCTCGGGAGGCTGAGGTAGGAGAATTGCTTGAACCTGGGAGGTAGAGGTTGTGGTGAGTCGAGATCATGCCACTGCACTCAAGCTTGCGCAAGAAGAACAAAACTCTGTCTCAAAAACCAAAACAAAACAAAACAACCAGTTCCAATGTTCTCTCCTTCTGTATCTAATTGCTGAGAATGCTTTTGGTTTTATCCAGTAACAATTTTTATGCTATGGATACAGGCAGAAATTTATCTACTAGGATCCACACGACAGCATTATGTTGTTCATAAGGGAAACAATTTAAATATTAAAGAATGACTAATGAATAAAAACTGAAACATACTCTTTTTGTTTTGTAATTGTAAGCCTGGTAAGCAAATCATAGCAAATACCAGAATCAATTTTTTTTTTTCTAAATTTAAATAACTTCTGTAACTAGGCAGATCAAAACTAACAGTAAATACTTCATTCCTATTAACATAGTGTCCAGGAGCATGATTCACCAAAGAACATATGAAGAATTAAAATTTTCTAAAGAATACTGCCAGAAACTTACAAATATTATAACTTAGCAATATTGGACCTGAGTTCTAATCTAATAAACCAGTGTTTAACTTAACAATCTGTCATTCTAAACACTTTTAAAAATTTAAATAAAGAATATTAGTGGCAATACATGAACACTATATAAGTGATATAAAAAATTTTTTAATGTTTGTCTCCCAGTTAATATAAGATTTATTTCTAAAAATTGGAATATGGCTGGGCATGGTGGCTCATGCCTATAATCCCAGCACTTTGGGAGGCCAAGGTAGGCAGATCATTTGAGGTCAGGAGTTCAAGACTAGCCTGGCCAACACGGTGAAGCCCCATCTCTACTAAAAATAAAAAATTAAGGCCGGGCGCGGTGGCTCAAGCCTGTAATCCCAGCACTTTGGGAGGCCGAGGCGGGTGGATCACGAGGTCAAGAGATCGAGACCATCCTGGTCAACATGGTGAAACCCCGTCTCTACTAAAACTACAAAAAATTAGCTGGGCATGGTGGCGCGTGCCTGTAGTCCCAGCTACTCAGGAGGCTGAGGCAGGAGAATTGCCTGAACCCAGGAGGCGGAGGTTGCGGTGAGCCGAGATCGCGCCATTGCACTCCAGCCTGGGTAACAAGAGCGAAACTCCGTCTCAAAAAAAAAAAAAATAAAAATAAAAAAAAATAAAATAAAATAAAAAATTAGCTGGGCGTGGTGGTGGGAGCCTGTAATCCCAGCTACTTGGGAGGCTGAGGCAGGAGAACTGCTTAAACCCAGGAGGCAGAGGCTGCAGTGAGTGTCCTGGGAGCACACCACTGCACTTGAGCCTCGGCGACAAGAGCAAAACTCCATCTCAAGAAAAAAAAATGAAGTATTACTTACTGAATGGTCAGATATAAATGGGTAAATCTTTTTTTTTTTTTTTTTTTTTTTTTTTTGTGACAGAGTCTTGCTCTGTCACCAGGCGCCAGGCTGGAGCGCAGTGGTGCGGTCTCGGCTCACAGCAACCTCCGCCTCCCGGGTTCATGCAATTCTCCTACCTCAGCCTCCCAACTAGCTGGGACTACAGATGCGTGCCACCATGCCCAGCTAATTTTTATATTTTAGTAGAGACGGGTTTCACTATGTTGGCCAGGATGGTCTCGATCTCTTGACCTCATGATCTGCCTGCCTCGGCCTCCCAAAATGCTGGGATTATAGGCATGAGCCACCGTGCCAGGCAGTGAATCTTAAATATTATTTTTATCTTCTAAATTTACATTATTTTAAAGATTTCATAATATCTGTACCTTAGTTTAAGGCTTTCAGAGAGTCTTTCAGCTTCTTCAATAGCTTTTTTGATGTTTGCAGGTCCAAGTATTGAATGGAAGTAATCCTGAAATTACAGGAAAACCATCCCATATTGTTAGTACTAGGCATTGCATGTAAAACTAGGGCTAAAAGCATTACAATCATGGTGCTTATATAAAAGGAAGTTTATTACAATTGAAGATTTTAAAAACTTTTAACTTACATAAATGTATAATTTATTCTCTAAGGCCGGGCGCGGTGGCTCAAGCCTGTAATCCCAGCACTTTGGGAGGCCGAGGCGGGTGGATCACGAGGTCAAGAGATCGAGACCATCCTGGTCAACATGGTGAAACCCCGTCTCTACTAAAAATACAAAAAATTAGCTGGGCATGGTGGTGCATGCCTGTAATCCCAGCTACTCAGGAGGCTGAGGCAGGAGAATTGCCTGAACCCAGGAGGCGGAGGTTGCGGTGAGCCGAGATCGCGCCATTGCACTCCAGCCTGGGTAACATGAGCGAAACTCCGTCTCAAAAAAAAAAAAAAAAAAAAAATATTTATTCTCTAAATGTTTCAAAAGTATGTCTGCATACCATTAGTAAGTTAAAAAGATCCAGTAGTTCATAAATTTGATTTATTTGTAAATCACCATTAAAAAATATAAATAACATTCTTCTTATTTATGAGTAAGTGCCAAAGAGCAAAGCTTTCAAGAATAAGATGTGTTTTCTAATTAAAAATATGTACCTAGATTTTTCCTCTAGTCTCACAAGTAATAATCCAAAATGTTTACAGACACAACATGGAATTGGTTTTGTTTACTTGTTCTAAACAGTTATTTTTGCTTCCCCCTGTACTCTACAATAGCTACCCACATCCCAACTGGAGTCAAAACACTTTGGATACATAAAACAAGTTTCACACTTTAGGAAACTCAGAGCAACTAAAAACGAAGTAACAGAAAATAAATACTTAATACTATAATCTAGGCCAGGAACGGTGGCTCACAGCTGTAATCCAAGCACTTTGGGAGGCTGAGGCAGGCGGATCACTTGAGGACAGGTATTCCAAGATCAGCCTGGCCAACAAGCTGAAACCCTGTGCCTACTAAAAATACAAAAATCAGGTCGGTGTGGTGGTATGCCCCTGTAATCCCAGCTACTTGGGAAGCTTAGGCAGGAGAATCACTTGAACCCAGGAGACAGAAGTTGCAGTGAACTGAGATTGCACCACTGCGCTCCAGACTGGGCGACAGAACAAGACTCTGTCTCAGGAAGAAAAAAAAAAAAAAGTATAATCTACCTTTAAAAAATGCAAAAGATGGCCAGGCGCAGTGGCTCACAACTGTAATCCCAGCACTTTGGGAGGCGGAGGCGGGTGGATCACAAGGTCAGGAGCTTGAGACCAGCCTCCGTCTCTACTAAAACTACAAAAAATTACTCGGGCATGGTGATGCACACCTGTAGCCTCAGCTACTTGGGACGCTGAAGCAGGAGAACTGCAGTGAGCCAAGACTGCGCCACCGCACTCCAGCCTGGGTAACAGAGTGAGACTCCATCTCAAAAAAAAAAAAAAAAAAAAAAAAAAGCAAAAGGTTTGGCATATAATTTACTAAAAAGTACAATGAAGTTGGACCCTATAATCAGAGATATTTTCAAATCAAGGTTGGTATGACTTGGCAGTAGCCAGTTAAGTCAATTTAATGATTACTGCATCCAATTTGCCACAACATGTCAACATGACTTTGCAAATAGAGCCTACTAGCACAGTTCATTACAAATTATAATAATCAAAATTTGTAAAAAGAAGAGTTATAGCTCAGAAGTACTCATCTTTGGCTCTCAGTTATGAAGAGCTGCAGTGGTGAAGCCATGTAAACATATATAACAGCCTATATATATATACATATATATATATATATACACACATATATATATATATATACACACACACATATATATATATATCTTCTAGATTACTTATGATACAAATAAACAAAGAAATATAACTTCTGTAACTAGGCAGATCAAAACTAACAGTAGGCTGGGCGTGATGGCTGACACCTGTAATCCCAGCACTTTGGGAGGCTGAGGCAGGTGGATCACCTGAGGTCAGGAGTTTAAGACCAGCCTGGCCAAGACGGCAAACCCCCATTTCTACTAAAAATATGAAAATTAGCCAGGCGTGGTGGTCCCTGTCTGTAATCTCAGCAACTTGGGTTGTCTGTAATCACTTGAACCTGGGAGGTGGAGTTCACAGTGAGCCAAGACAGTGCCACTGCACTCCAGTCTGGGCGACAGAGTAAGACTCTATTTCAAAACAGTAACGACAAAAACCAACAGTACATATTTCATTCCCATAAGACCAGTGACCAGTAGCACAATACAACCTGGAGCATAAGAAGAATTAAATTTTTCTAAAGAAAACTGCCAGATATTTACAAACATAATTTTGAAAACCTGGACCTGAGCTCTAATCTAATATACAAATGCTCAACAATCTATCATTCTAAACACTTTTTACATTTCAAAAGAGTATGTGGTAACACAAGAACAGAATATGAGTAATACAACAAAATATTTAATTTTTGTGTCCCAATTAACATGAGACTTATTTTTTCCTTTTTTTTTTTTTGTATTTTATTTTGAGACGGAGTCTCGCTCTGTCGCCCAGGCTGGAGTGCAGTGGGGCCGTCTTAGCTTACCGCAAGCCTCCCGGGTTCTTGCAATTCTCCTGCCTCAGCCTCCCGAGTAGCTGGGACTACAGGCATGTGCCGCCATGCCTGGCTAATTTTTTTGTAGTAGACGGGGTTTCACCATGTTGCTCAGGCTGGTCTCGAACTCCTGAGCTCAGGCAATCCGCCTGCCTCAGCCTCCCAAAGTGGTGGGATTACAGGCATGAGCCACTGCACCCGGCTGAGACTTATTTTTAAGAACAAAGATCTGTTGATGGCCAGGCTAGGCGGCTCACACCTGTAATCCCAACACTTTGAGAGGCCAAAGCAGGTAGACAACTTGTACCCAGAGGGTTGAGGCTTCAGTAAGCCATGATCACACCACTGTATTCCAAAAGAGAAACAAAGTGAGACACTGTCTCAAAAAAGGTCTATTGATAACAGTTATCACATGTTTATCTAGCCTAAAAGTAGATCATGCTGGTCAGGCATGGTGGCTCACACCTGCAATCCCAGCACTTTGGGAGGTCAAGGCAGGAGGAACACGAGGTCAGGAGTTGGAGACCAGCCTGACCAACATAGTGAAACCCCGTCTCTACTAAAAACACAAAAATTAGCCAGGTCTGGTGGTGTGAGCCCAGCTACTCAGGAGTAATCCCAGCTACCTCAGGAGGCTAAGGCAGGAGAATTGCTGGAACCCGGGAGCATGAGGTTGCAGTGAGCCGAGATCACACCACTGCACTCCAGTTTGAGCGACGGAGCAAGACTGTCTCCAAAAAAAAAAAAAAAAAAAAGTATATCATGCTTTGTTTGCTTTACTCTCCTAAAGCCTAAATATATTAGAAGGACCCTTCACTACATAATTCCAATAAAAGTGCACAGTTTGTTCAATACTGTATCAACTGAACATTACAATAATTTCAGTTAGCACGCACAATGTCATGACTACTGATGATGAAACTCTCTTAACAGAAAACATAATGTAATGATTACATTAACAGAATCATTTAACAGAAATTATAATGTGATCATTCTCAATAAAAACAAGATACAAAGTAAAACCAAAAATGCTATGACTTGTTTTATTCTTTTTTTTTTTTTGAGATGGAGTCTCGCTGTGTATGCCAGGCTGGAGTACAGTGTTGCGGTCTCAGCTCACTGCAACCTCCGCCTCCCAGGTTCAAGCAATTCCCCTGCCTCAGCCTCCCAAAGAGCTGGAACTATGGATGCACACCACCATGCCTGGCTAATTTTTGTATTTTTAGTAGAGATGGGGTTTCACCATGTTGGCCAGGCTGGTCTCAAACTCCTGACCACAAGTGATCCACCCGCCTCAGCCTCCCAAAGTAGTGGGATTACAGGGGTGACCCACTGCACCAGGCCTAAATCTCAAACATTTTCTAGTACAAAATAAGAGTGAAAAAATACAAGTTTCTAAGGAAGTTTAATGATATATATTCAGTCCCTACCTGATTGAAAGGGTAAAAACAGAAAATACCTTGTTAGTAAATTTAGTGCCTCACATACTTGAAGTACACTAGAAAGGTTGGGCTATAGAAAATACAACAAAAAAACACTTCTGCAGCTGGATGAGGTGGCTCACAGCTGTAATCCCAGCACTTTGGAAGGCCGAGGCAAGCGGATGGGTCCCTTGAATCCAGGAGTTCAAGACCAGCTAGGCAACAGGGTAAGACCCTGCGTTTCTACAAAAAATAAAAAACTTAGCCAGATGTGGTGGTACGTGTCTGTAGTCCCAGCTATTCTGGAGGCTGACATGGGAGAATCAGCTGAGTCCAGAAAGTGGAAGCTGCAGTGAGCCTTGATTGTGGCCACTGAACTCCAACCTGGGTGATGGAAGTGAGATTCTGTCTCAGAACAAACAAAAAACAGTTCTAAGACAGAAGCAATGAAATACCCTGGACAGAGTAAATGAAAATAATCCTTTTACTGAAAAGCAGGAACTGAACTACTGAATCATATGAAATAAGGGCCTAAGTTACCGGAGCCTTTGCAGGGAGCTTCTCAACCTGAACTTCTCTGCCTAGATACTCCCTTTGGAAGTGCAATAGAGACTCTGCGGAAATGAAAAAATCTCTTACCTATTTAAATGTACTCACTAACTTCTCAAGAAGATTAAAAAAAAAAAAATTTTAGCTACAAAAATATTCCCAATCTTGTCATAGAAAAAAAATAACTACTAACTTCCAAGAATAAAGAAAAAAGTAAACAAGTATACTTAAAAACAAAAACAAAAACAAAAACAAAAACAAAAAACCCTGGTCAGGTGTGGTGGCTCCTGTCTGTAATCCCAGCACTTTGGGAGGCTGAGGCGGGTGGATCACCTGAGGTCAGGTTCAAGAGCAGCCTAATCAACATGGTGAAACCCCATCTCTACCAAAAATATAAAAATTACCCTGGCGTGGTGGCGTGCACCTGTAATCCCAGCTACTTGGGAGGCTGAGGCAGGTAAATCGATTGAACTAGAGAGGCGGAGGTTGCAGTGAGCCAAGATCGCACTACTGCACTCCAGCTTGGGTGACAGAATGAGACTTTATCTCAAAAATTAAAAAAAAAAAACAAAACAAAAAACCCTACCACACAGACAAAACAATAAACAACTACCAAAGTTATCCTAATTACAAGACTTTCAAAAATATTTACTTTAGTAAGCACTGTTTATCGTGCTTTTTAAGTAATTCCACTTTAACATATTTCAAAAATTCGTTTGCATTTAGAAAGGCCTCGCCTCTCTGTCTATTACCTGCAGATACGCAGGTCTAAAAATGTTAAATAATGTTTCTCCCAGGGCAGGACCAATTCAACCACTGTGGACAGATGGATGAACCTCCAAATGAAACAGGCTCCCTCTTTCAAAGATAGATCTAAAAACCTAGTAGCTGGCCAGGTGCAGTGGCTCACCCTTGCAATCCCAGCACTTTGGAAGACCAAAGTGGGCAGATCACGAGGTCAGGAGTTTGAGACAGCCTAGACAATATGGAAAAACCCCCAACTCTACTAAAAATACAAAAATTAGCCAGGCATGGTGGCAGGTGCCTCTAGTTCTAGCTACTCTGGAGGCTGAGGCAGGAGAATTGCCTGAACCTGGGAGGCAGAGGTTGCAGTGAGCCAAGGTTGTGCCACTATACTCCAGCCTGAGCAACAGAGCAAGACTCTATCTCAAAAAAAATACTAGTAGTAAAAAAAAAAGTTGTCACATAAAAATAAGAGACTAAACCTCAAATCTTAAGAAAGTACAATAAAAGCACTATTTTAAAAAGTTGTATTTTCTTGGCTCATGTGTTGATGAAGGAAAATAAAAATAAAAAATTAAAAAAAATCATATTTTCTTAATGACTAAATTCAATCCTTCTACTTGACCTGGTAATAATTACCTCAGAAAAAAATTATGAATCTGTATGTTGCTGTAAACTTGTACTAATCCACAGCAAATTCACACGTTACAACCATTTGTGAATAACACTATATCTTTAGTTTGCTTTTTCTATCTACATGAGATATGATACTACATATAATTTGAGCTAATTTCATTATTATTTAAAATTTTTAGAAAAAATCAATAACTCCATTATGCAAAATAACTTAGGAAATAAAAATTCAAAAATAAAAGGTACCTGCTGTTGCTTGAAATCAGGTCTTTTTTTGATAAGATTATAAACAGTTACGTATTTCATATATAGTACATAGGCCTTTTCCTCATCACGATCTAATCTGCATTCTTCTGCGGTCTTAAAGATCTTCAGGGCACTGTGCACATAGCTTAAAATTAGAGAAAAAAATATAATTAAAGCACTTGACATCTGCGAAAAAAAATACAGGTTATATACAAAATCCACAGATAATCTTTATGAGGGGTCCCCAACCCCAGGGCCACAGATTGGTACTGGTTCGTGGCCTGTTAGGAAGCAGGCCACACAGCACTAGGTGAGTGGTTGGTCTAGTGAGCTAAGCGTCATCTGTATTTACAGCCACTCCCCATTGTTTGCATTACCGCCTGAGCTCCACCTCCTGTCAGATCAGTGGCCGAATTAGATTCCCATAGGAGCACGAACTCTATTGTGAACTGCGCATGTGAGGGATCTAGGTTGCACATTCTTTTTTTTTTTTTTCTGAGATAAGAGTCTAGCTCTTGTTGCCCAGGCTGGAGTGCAATGGTGCAATCTCGGCTCACTGCAACCTCCGCCTCCCAGATTCAATTTCTCCTGCCTCAGCCTCCCAAGTAGCTGGGATTATAGGCATGTGCCACCACGCCCAGCTAATTTTTGTACTTTTAGTAGAGATGAAGTTTCACCATGTTGGTCAGGCTGGTCTCGAACTCCTGACCTCAAGTGATCCTCCTGTCTCCGTCTCCCAAAATGCTGGGATTACAGGCATGAGCCACACCACCCAGCCAAAGTTGTGCATTCTTTATGAGAATCTAAGGCCTGATGATCTGTCACTGTCTCCCAT